CCGAGCAAAACGAGCTCACCCGTGAATTCTAGCTGCGCCCATGCGTGAAAGGCAGATAGCTAGTGTTGGCCTGGGACAAACTTGGTGCGATATGAGTGTGTCTTAAAATAGGGGACTCCCAAAATGGCTCCGGGTTTCCTGGTGGTTTCCTTTCAACGCCCAAAAAGGTAGCAACTCCAAAAAGCGAGACCCATTGGAATGGCTCAGGTTGGGTCGCGGCACTCGGCGCTTTTGAGGCACGGTTGTCGCTTAAGAAGTTGTGAAAAGTGGGGACCTGACCTCGAAACGTTTCCTTGAGATCAAACGAATCAAGATGAAAACAATTTTTCAGGTTCACCCATGAGCATCCAAAACTCATCAGTTTTCGCGGAAAGAAGCAGATTCTTCTGGTGGGGCTGAAATTCCCCCGCCGGTGTAGATGCCGGAAAACGGGGTTGGAGCGTGACAATGCGGAGTTGGCGTAGTTTTAAAAGCGTCAACAATCCGGTCATGCTGTGTTTTCCTTGACACCTGCGTGCCTTGGCTTCGGGGCTGCTTGGTTTTCTCGGAATGGCGCCTGCTTTTCTGGCGGGTGCCCACTACATCCCAAGACGTTGAACTTCCAATGTCCGGGGCTGCACCGACTTTGTTGTAGCACCGTCCAACGATGGATCACTGGAAAACGTCGAAAATCGAGAGCACCCCGGGTTGGAACACCCCGGAAAATATTTTCTGCGGCCGAATTCACCCTGGGCGCCTTCAGGTGGAAAGCCCACTGTCCTTTTGGACAAAGAGCGGGTGCACCAACAAGCCAGTGTTTCGTGCGAGGGTACTTTGCGACCCAAAACATGGAGGGATGGAGGGGGGGTGCACTTAACCCCAAAACAGAGCGGCTTGCACCGGACAGCCAGGCAACCCCTACCCCACTTACCGGGTGAAAGTAGATGGAACAATTCCCATGCCCATTTTGGTTTAGTCCCAAGGGAATTGTTCCGTCTACTGTAACCCTGGTGACCTCACCTACAGGAATGCAAGTTTCTGTCAACTCGCATCGTTGCATCGCTACCTCCTTTTGGTCGTCCCAGGGCACCCAGGTTTTCATCTTTTTGGTTCCATTTCGTCCGGCGCTCAGACGGAAGGAACACGAGCAATGCCGAGAGCATGGAAATGAGGCACCTCGAAAGATGCTGGGAGAAACATCTGGATGAGAGGCATTTGGCACAGCAAATCGACGGCGGCAGGGTTCATATTTTGATTGCAGGGCAGACTCAGATGGGTGGTTGATCCTCCTGAAAGGCATGGGAACCGCTGGGTATCTGCATCTAACCGCGATGTGGTCAAAAACAAGGTGTGTCTGTCTTCCCCGACTGGTTTGGGGCGGTTTGATTTGTGGCGACACGCGCCGACTAGCAAAGGGCGCCCTCAGGGTTCTCTGCGAACACGAGACAGAACTGACCCCGACTCTGACAGCCCGCAAGAGGTGGCCCTTGCAGTGCTTTCTCCCTGCTTTGCTTAATGTTAGTTTCGGATAAATTCAGAGGACCCGAATCAGGGCTGGCTCCCCCTTGAGTGAGGAAATTATCAATTTCACGGGGTTCCTCTTACTAGGGTTCTTCGGATCAATCCAATGTTACGTTGGACCAATCCAATGTTGCGTTACCATTGCACTGTCAGATATTCCATGCTTGGTTTACCACGCTTTTGGGCTGCGCGACTTCGGAGCGCAAGTATCATCCGTCTGGCGCGAAGGAAACCTGTGACAGAGTTGGACGAGTGAAACCAAACTGCGTGCTCAAAGCAGTTTCTGTGATTTCCGTTTTTTTCTTGTTCTGGTTTCAACGAAACAAGCAAAACTCAGGTAACCCCTACTTGGTGGTTTGGATTCGTGCTTTGGGGATTTGAACCCTTGGTTCTCGTGGTGGGTGAAAAGAAAACCACCCGTTACCACACCACCAATCCAAGCCACCAACTAGGGGACAGCTGACTAAAACACGTTTTTCTTTTCTCTTTTTCCGTTGTTTTCCTCCCTTTTTGGGGGGCATGCTGATAAAAACACACGTTTTTCCTCCTTTTCGGTGCCTCCTTTTCGGCAGGGGGGGGGGGTTCTGAGGCACGCCCCTTGGGCGTGGACGTCACAGGGAAGGCGTGAGGACCTGAAAACTGCGCGCGCTGAGGCGCGGGAGGTGCATTGAGAGACGTTGCGCCCGCATCGCCCCGCATCGTCCGGGAGTCTGAGTGTTGGCTAGCGCCCACCTGGGTTATGACAAATTGGGGGGGTGGGAGGGGAGGGGGTGGGAGGGGAGGGGAGGGGAAGGCGGAGGGGAGGGGGGAAGAAGTCAAAGAATGAGATGATCCATTGGCTTCTTTCTTTGGTTAGTGTTGATCATTGAAAGACAATCCAGGGAGGACTCGAATATTGGAAATGCGGCCGTGCACAAACTTTACATGGCCATGTCTTGGAATTGGTATTCACTTTGTGTTGTAATGGGAAACCAAAGGCAAGCCGAAGCCCTTTTCGAGCTTCCCTCAACTTGGGGTTTGATTGGAACCTCATCACAACCCTGTGTGAGGGTCGAGAAGGGTTGTGTCAAAATCGGGGGATCCCAAAAATGCGGGTTTCGTTCGGTCTTCCTAAAAACCGCCAGAAAAAGGGTACCCTCAAACAGAGTCAGTGGAGCGACTGGTACCTGAGAGAGAAGACCTCACCCCCCGTGTGTTTTAAACCCCGAGAGCAATCACGCCTCCCAGTTTGCCCGAAAGTTCTCCGAGCCGCCTCCAAAGCCAGAAACACGAAAACACCTATTCTCAAGTTGTGTTTTTCCATCTGGAACATGCGCCCTTCGGTGCAGTTGGCAGTTCTCAGATTCGTGCTTTCTCACTTGGCGGTGCGGGCCGGACCTAGCCAGATGCAAGGAGGAGCGAGTGCTCAGATCAAAGAGCCCGTGCGGTGTGTTTCTTGAGGCTACCCTTCCGCCTTGGTGCAAAAGGGAAACCGAAAGAAAAGACACCGTTTGTGACGTTGCAATAGCTTGTGAACCGGTGAGTTTTGCCAGTGACACCTCAGACTTCCCACTGGCTCCTCCTGACAAGCCAGAACCAGGAAGGTCGAATTTTCATTTTTCGTTGCCGGAAGGTTGTGGCAGCAGCGTGACGCTTCGATGGTGAAAACACACATAAATAATAGGGCCTTGAATAGGGACTGGGCCAAACTGAGCGGGCTCTTTCCGGGAGTTGCCTCCCGGAAAGAGTTGCCAAGCCTTCATTTTGAACGGCTCAGATCAAGCAGTACCGGTTCTTGGTGTGATTCAGCGATTTTGCTCGCAGCTATATTATATGCCTGTGCAGATGTAGAGGCCTGCAACAAGGATTTGAGCCACAATTCAAGGTGTAGTAAGGGACAGTCCCAATCATAAAACAGGTGCACACATCCGCCCTCGTGATTCTTCAACAAGGGTTTTGGGCGGACTTTGTCGATCCGTTTGTCCCAGGTTTTGATCCTGACTCATTTGGGGGCGCTTGCATCAGTTGAGCTTTCGTCCGAACCATAGTGTGCATGAATGCCTTGATTCCCAAATGAAGGCCATACAGGCTAGCAGGCGAATCCTTGCAACAATCTGAAACAAGTGGCCGCAAATTTCAATTAGGGACCCTCTGGTGGACATTCAGGTTGGGATTTGTGTCCACCAACCAGTTTCAGGGGGTTTCAACTCTGAAAACTCATATCCAAACGAAGTAGACCGCAAAAGAAGTTGTCGAACAACAAGCTGCTGTCAGATCTAGACGCGTATTGTTGCAGCCGTCACCAGTCTGCTGCAAGCGCTTGATGTCCAGCCAGACTGTCTCACCCCTGGGCCCATGTTGGCTTAAATGTTGGGTTGGCCGAAATGATTGCTGCTGGAGTGGGAGGATCCACCAGTTCGAGCGTGTTCAGAGCAGCCTGCAGCCAAACCAGAAGTCTGTTTCCCAGCATGTTGCCAATCTGTATGCTGTCACACCTGCAGCTTTCCTCATTGCTACGGCCCAAGCTTCCACGTCGAGTATGCGATGAGCAGCTTCGACTACATGGGAATGACGCCTGGATGGCCCATGATGGCCCTGCCACTGGCAAAGCGCAGTCGTCATTCCTGTGGGACAATTCTTTGTCCGGGTGTGATCCCATTGCCCGCGGCGGATGGACGGCCTCGGTGCCTTTGGCCACTTCTTTCAGCCCTTGGGGGGCCACGGGCCATATGGAGGGCCTGAAAACCTTCGCCCTGAACGCCGGTCTTTCCACCCGCCGGGCACCGGGAATTTTCTGGTCGCGTGGGCCACATAAGGTGCTTCAGCGCTTCGCCGTGGTGCCGAGAGTAAAATGGAAGGGGGCGGGCTTCACAGCCCAAGGTTGGGCTGCGCCTTCCAAAAGGGGAGTTTGCATCCCAACGAATGACAGGGCACTTTTTTCGTTCAGGCCCCTTTTGAACTGCCCTTTGGCCCAAGGCGAGCTCTTCTTTTTCTTTCGGTGGTTCCATGGTTTCCCCACTTTCCTACGCACAGGCGGAAAGACCAAGGCGAAGGCCCAGGGAGAGTTGGTGAGCAAAGCACAGAGGCATTGCGAAGGGGGGGGAACTGGCCACCGAAAACTCAGCCGAACGCCAGGCCAGAAAATGGACCATCACGGAAACATGCCCCTCCACGAGAATAGAACTGCCACGTCTGGGTACGCTGGAACCCAAGCCTCAAAAATCGCTTGTGGGTTGAAGGCACATGTTCAAGCATGGTTCATTTGATTCTTTCATGCCATTGAGACAGTTGTTTGAGGGTACCTTTTTGGGGTTGTTTCGGACAACCGACGGCAAACCGAAGCCCAATGTGGGAGCCCTCGTGAGACAAACCCATTTGTAGCTGGCAAGCAAAGCATTGAGGACCTCACGATGAGTCATGCCCGGCTTTCTCGCCGAAGCTTTTGCACAGAGACATGCAAGCCATAGAAGTGAACTCTGTGATGAGATCAGCGCCAGGTTTTCACCACGGTGACTCCCACCATGTCCAGCATGAAGGGCTCCCATGTTTTCCGGGCTCCCAAGTTGGGCCGAATGGTCAGCTCGGTCGCTGGAGTTATCGTGGAGGCGCGGCACGGAGCAATCCGCCGAACTCACCTGAAAGGCGCTGCCCCTTTGGGGTTTCATGTTTTTCCCCTTTGGACTAGTGACAAGTGAAGCTCTTTGAGGGGGGATTTGAGGGGGCGGGGTTCTAATTCTGGCCAAACGTTGCGTGTCTTTTGGTGAAGGTGGCTTGCTTGAGGTTACTTTAACGGGAAACTTGCAAGGAACCAGCGCCCTTTTTGAAGTCGCAAACAGCTTGCTACCCCAAACAAAACAGAAAGGAAACCATCGCTCGGGAGTCTTCCAGCGGGGCCGCTTCCCCCTTTGCCCCCGTTCCAACGCAGCTCAAAATGTTGAGAACCCCCAAAGGGAATCAATCGAGCATAGTGGGGAGTCTCCTTGGGAACGGGCCCGTTTTGGGTTCCTGTCACAGGCTGCCCGCAGAGCTTGGATTGTGCCCGAGCTGCCCTGCGATGAGGTGAAGGCAAGCTTCGCCTCCGATTGAAGCCTCTGTTTCAGCTGAGCAACGGTCAATATGTACCATCATGTTGCGCAAGGGGCAAGCATGGGCCACACGAGCCCCAAATTACTATTGGGAAATGGATGTTGGGGACACAACACACTTTGACCATGCCTCAGGGCAGCTTCATGTCAAAGCTAGAAGGGCGTCTTCAACTTCCATGTCATAAGGATGCCTAGGGTCATTCTTTCGACTTCGGACGATGTCAGAAACCGCTTCCCTTCCTGCCACTTAGGGGGTGAGCTTTAGCACAGTTCCTTGCGGGGGAGGGGGGGGGCCGTATCGGGGTTCACAAATCAAAGGTTTGTCCTGAGATCGTTATTACGTGTTTTTCTTCTTTTTTAATAATAGACACGTACATATATAATATATACATATATATATATATACAATTACGTGTGTATATATATATATATAATTATGTGTATATATATATATATATGACTTATGTCAACCAACATCATCGATGTGCTGCAGCCCCACCGCACCTCCAGGCGACATTGCAACTGAGCTTCAGGGATGCTTTGCGGCAGGTTGAGGACACGCATGACGCCTGAGAACTCGATGTCATTATTTTCAGCAGTTGTGCGTGCACATCCACACGAAAGATTGGTGGCCCAACTTTTCCAGAACGTAAAGGGTTAACTCTGGAGTACCTCCTTAATGATCTGGGCCCAAACAGGTTGGCCGAGGACAGGGGCATGGAATAGATCACAGGTTTGCCTGCTCGGGGCCCGAGAAAGTGCTTGTTTTGATTGAAAGGCAAGGGGTGCACCCCATTTTCGCGTCAATGTTATCCGTGGATCAGAAAAACCTTACAGATTACCCTAAACCCTAAACCCTAAACCCGGCTGCTTTTCGTTGCAAATGTGGAGCCTCTCTTAAATTCCGCCTTGGCTGATGTTCCCTTGAGCCTTCCCGCTTGGAGTTTCCGAGCCCCGTGTGTGCCATGTGGTTCCAAAGGACCCTTCGCGAGGCCTGGGCACCCCCACCCCCAGGCCTGTGGGTTGGCAGCCTCAAGGTGTTAGGGCGGTGGAGGGCTTTGATCTGGGTTTGGTCTCAAACTATGGCCCCCAGCAAACGGACACCAGGGCTTTTTGCAACCACCCCAAGGTTTTTTTTTTGGGTTTCCCCCTTGGCACCCACATACCGCCCCCCTGCCGCGCTGCTTTTCGCGTTTTGCAGGACCTGCAAACGGGTTTCCACGGCCTGGTGATGGACACCTGGATCAATGCCTGGATCCCCGGAACGTCACGTGCCAAGAGCGGCGCGGTGGGTGTGTTTCCTTTGGGGGAGAACCCCAAAATGGTGGTTTTCCTTTTGGTCTCCCTTTAGAACCAAAAAGGGGGTGCTCTCAAAAAGAGACAGACCCACGTATGTCTTGATGTTTTTGGTTTAAAGAGGAAACCAGCTGGATACTTGTTCGGGTTTTCCAAACCTAGCACCCTTGGAACTGCAACCCATGGGGTTTTTCTGAGCCGATTTTCCCCGAGCCCCACAGAACCCGATGCGTGGGGTCAGGTTGGGCTGGGTATGCCAAGGGCCACTTTGTCCGAACTCTATGTGGCTTGCTTTGTTACTCGCGCCAGGGTAAGACTAGATATGATAGGGGAGAACTTAAGGTTTCAGGAAACCATGATCATGGCCTACACATTGGGGGGCTCCGCCGTGCCAAACGGAGTCAAAAGTGCTTCAGGTCACCCAGACGCAGGCGGGGAGCGCCGAAGGTCCCAAGAGAAGATCGGGAGTGCGGTGTGTGCAACGGTTTTGGTGTTGGATATTCGTTGGTGCGGGTGGGACCCTAGAATGACCGACGGAAACATTTGTTGGCGGTTCGCGGATTTTCCTGGTTCGGAACACCTGCTGTAGGCCTTGAACAGGCCCATCTTCCCAGTAGCAACCTACATTTTAGCCGGGTGAACCCATGCCTCATTAGCCCTGGAGTTGACGAATGGGCGTGAAACGGATTTGGGAACCCTTTACGTGGTTGGATTTCGTGTGCATTCCCCAAAACCGTAGCCATGTCAAGCGAGACAGCAGCTCGGAAACGCCGCTGCAGATTGTTTCCTACTAAGAGTGCTTTTGCCCCGGGGGAGCGACGCGCGACCTTTCCAAATGCAAATGAAACCTCATGTTATCTTAAGATCGACAAGGGTGGTGTCGTGATTGTTCGATTTGGAAAAGCATATTCTGAGAGGCCAATGCTTGCTTCTGACTTTGTTTTGCAGAAGCTTAGCTGTTGAGTCGCAGGGTGCCTCGCCAAATTTCGGACGAATGTGGTGTCGTTTCGACTCGCGGGAGGTGATGTCTTCAAGAGGGGACCCCTCAGACTAGGTCGAGAACCTCCTCAAAATTTTGGAGGTTCCCCAATTTTAGAACAAAACCACATGGACGTCTGCTTCCTTTGTTCTTGGAGTCGGAAATGATAAGCCCGGAGAAAAAACATCTGGCACGTAGGGAGGGGCCCGTATTCCCTCCGAAAGTGCCGCAAGTTGCATTGAAAATCCTCTAAAATGCCATGCCCCTATCAACCGACGAGGTGTGTAGGAGTCCAGATTCCATGTCCCTTGCGCGTTGACATGACCAACTCCAACAGGGCGTGTCTTTCTTTAGTCCCCCAAAAAGCCATCACATGTTTTTCGGGTTTCCCTTTAAATCCCCGAAAAATAAATCGGGTGGTACGCTCAGGGCACACCCACCCCGCGCAAGAGGTGCTGAGTGGTGCCTGGCAGTGGTGGCGCTTCCTGGGCCCTTTGCTGCCGGCGGTGTCCGCGGCCTTCAACTTCCAGGAACCCGTCGTCAGTAGACTCAGTAGCGGAACCCCTCGTTTGGAAAACAGAAGGGGTCGTCATGGGGCTGCGTTTTGCATGTAGGGGAAATATGCAACCCACCTCGAGTTTTTTTTTTTTTGTTTACAAAAGAAACAAATACAGTTTTCAAACCCTATGTCAGACACGCCTGGGTCATGTTTGGAAAAAAGTAACGGCCAACGGGCTCAGGGGAGGGGAGTCCGTTTCAACCAGCTTCCGGTCCCGGTGGCTTTGTGGAAGTTCTGGGTGCAAAATGTGAGCAGCCAGCGACCTGAAGGGTGGAAACATGAAGGATTGGAGTCTGTTTCGAGTTTATTCCATGGAAGCTACCCTCCCAACGGGGCTAGTTAAGCGCACACGAGCCATCATCAAAACATGGGCAGATGAAGGTACAAGCCCCGGCCAGAAATAGGTGCTGCCGCCCCGAGTAGTTAGTCTTTACCACGGATTTTGGGCAGAACGCCTCACCGATCAGTTTTCATTGCGACGACAAATTTGGGGGCCAGAAAGGCCGCCCTATGCGCTCGCAGCAGCTGCTGCCGAAGCTGGTCGCTGGGAGAGGAGAGGCTGAAAGTTGCCGTACAAAATGCTTTTGGTGCCTCTCAAAATAGGGCATCCTAAAATGTGTGGTTTCCTGTTGGTTTCCCTTTGAGCATCAAGCCAAACGGGGTTCACCACTTTGAGAACCTGCCACATGAATCAAAACAGCCGCGGGGGTCCTCTCCCACGAATCATGGGTCCATGCACTTCCATGCTTGGCGGGGAGAGCAGTTGACAAAAGGGAAACACACTTTTTGGGGTTGGCATTGTCCTTTGAGCCAGCTCGAAGGGGTTGGCCCCCAAGTTGCGGAAGAAGTCTTTGGCTCACTTTTGGGGAAAGTCCAAATAGGTACTCTGTTGAACTGAACTACACATTCCAGTGACTGGCCAGTTGAATGACCCCTGAGGGACTCTTGAAGGAAAGGCGGTGCTGGCAAATGCTTTAGGGAAGCATCGCAGGAAGGAGGCCAACTGATTTGATCTCTCTCTCTCTCTCCGTCCCTTTTTTTTGCCCGGTTGTTTCTCTTTCTTTCTTTCTTTCTTTCTTGCTTTCTTTCTTTCTTGCTTTCTTTCTTTCTTTCTTTCTTTCTTTCTTTCTTTCTTTCTTTCGCTCTTTCTTTCGCTCTTTCTTTCGCTCTTTCTTTTCTTCTTTATGTTATTTCTCTTTATGTTCTTTCTCTTTATTTTCTTCTTTATTTATTTTCTTCTTTCCTTTTCTATCTCTCTTTTTTTTTTCTTCTGTCTTTCTTTCTTTCTTTCTTTCTTTATTGCTTTTTTTCCATCTCCCCTTTTCGTTCTTTCCATTTGCATTATTTCTTTCCTTCTGTCTTTTTTTCCCTTGCTTTCTCCCTCTCCCCGTTTCTTCCTTTCCTTTTTCCTTTCTTGCTTTCTTGCTGTCTTTCTTTAACTCGTTCTCTCTTTCTTGCTTGCTTTATTTCCTGTTTCTCTGTGTTGCCTGCTGCCTTGCTTTCTTTCTGGCTTTCTTGCTTTGTTGCTTTCTTGCTTTCGTTCTTTCTTTCTCTCCTCTTTCTCTTTCTCTATCCCGACATCCTTCTCTACCCCGACATCTTTCTCTATCTTCCGTTTGAAGATCTTTTTGAGGGCTGTTGAACAGTGGTCGCCTTGTTGTGGTTCCCCCCCCCAAGGGATAGTGAATGGCACCAGGGTTGCAAATTGGGACCTTGTAAACCGGACATGACTGAAGGTCCTCACATTCGCCACTGGCGCGCGGTCGCCCATTTTGGGGAGCAAAACAGGGCTAGGAGTGCTGTGTGGGTGATTTGCTTTGACCTGGAGCCACGACTCTTGACACGTCCCTGTCCGCGTTTCCTAACCAACAACTTGTGTACTGGTTTTGGCGGCGAAATTTGTTTCACCGGTTCGCTCCCCTTTAAAGCGAAAGCCAAGGGCTTGGTTTAAACATAGTAGTCCATTGCCTTGTGTGAAAAAGGGTTGAACTGCCCTGCCCTGGTAGCTTCTGCAGGCGCTCCTGTGCTGGCGCCAGGTACAGGAGCGACCCGATTCGATTTAAAGTTTGATCTGTTGGGGTTCTGAATGCCAAATCCTACACACATATATATATATATATAGATAATATAGATATGTGGTCACGCCCCAAGATCCACGCCTAGCCTGTCACTGCCCCTAAACACTGTGAACCACCGGTGTCTTTGAAGCATTGGGCACGCCGTTCTGGCTAACAGAATCTGGTGACAGATTTGGTTGCATCGCTACATTGTTGGGTGGTTGGTTTTGGCAGAGCAGATGTTTTGATGACCTGGTAAGATGAGTTAGTTGCAGAAGGCACCAGCTTCCAAAGTAGAAGGCCAAAACAAGCTCGAGACATCCAAAAGTCAACAATGCCTACTTTGGAGGTGAATCTTCAACCTCTTTGCTTGATTTTCTCGAGGTATTTTGTCAATTTGTTTTTCTTGGGCTTGTTTGGCTTGTTGGAAGCAACACAAACAAGGTAGCTTTTGATTTTTGGCTCGCTAACATGAACAAAACAAACTCATAATTTTAATTTTATGTTATTGGCCACAACACCAACACAGCAAACATAAAAACTCGAGAACACCAAACAAGCAAAATGCTTTCTGCCTGGAAACCAAACAAAGCCAGCGTGTGTGTGTGTGTGTGTGTGTGTGTAACTCTATATGTATATATACATGGCTATGGGTCCAAACCCTGCACCCCCGGTGAACATCCCAATTCCCACCGAAATAGACTAAAATGGGCGGTGCACCTACCCCACAATGGCACCATTGGTTTTGACCCACAGCCACATATGTATATAGGTGGTTGCCAGACAAACAGAACCGTTATGCTTGTTGCTGGTTTCTTGCATGCCGAACTCCAAAGAACCAAACAATTTGTCTGCTGTTGTTTTGGTCTTTTGGCAAAGTATAGATAAGACAAAACCGCAAGGAACACCGAATCAACAAGCTCGAACACCTGCTTTTTGTGGTTATTTGGAGCTGTTTTTCTTTTGATCTGCTATGTTTGGTTGCCAGATCATTATATATATATAGATACGTACTAGACAGATCTCAGATGATTTGGACAATTTGCCCGATCAAGCCGACACATTTTTCACCTCGGTCGTATCATGTAGATCAGAAGGCAGGGTTCTGAGCCTTGAAAGTTTGGGCTTGCCAAATTTGGGCCAGTAGGCTTTTCCTTAAACAAACAGTCAATTTCAAAGATGCTGCTTTCAGAGGAGTGATAGACTTTTCCTTTCAGTTTCCAACTCCGTATTGCAGACTTTTCCGGTCAAAGCTCTTTTAATAAGTTGTCAATGTCAAAGTTTGCGTCCAGATGTTGGACTGGTCTTTTTGAATTCGACAAGCGCAATCCGCAGAGGCTTTCTGGCTCCTTAGGATCTTCTTTTTGCTTCTTCCAACAGCCACATTTCTAGCTCGTAGCCCCTTCTGGGAAAGTACCACCCTGGTTGGACCCTTGAACATTTTGTTTTTCCCCTTGTGCTCGTTAGATTCCATTCTTGTTTGCTTGTGTAGGACTATTTATGGTTTTCCCGTCTTTCTTTCCCTTGTTTGCCTCCCTTGTCCGATTCAGGTCGAGTCTCTTTGTGAGGAGAGGATGAACCTCCTGCTCTGGCTGGGAACCTTCCAAGGCAATCCTGAGAGAGATTCTGCCTAGGGATCTTGGACAGCTTAAGGAGACCAAAGGGAACTAATGTTGACCCCAGATTAATAAACCCCTGGTTGATGAATAGGGGGGTGTCCCCTTTTAGTGGGGATTCATCACTTTTGGAGGGACGCCCCCCTAATAATGGGACAGGTTTATTGATCCGGGGTCACCATTACCTGGAAGGTTCCCTTTTGAGAAGCACCCAAGCAAAGACGTTGGATATTGCACCGAAAGGCGAGCGAACTGGGGCACGGCGATTGAACCGGCACTTGTGCAACCAGAAATCTTTGCGTGCAATGGCATTTGGTGGCGCAGCATCTGCCATCAGGGAGCTGTCCATTGTTTCTAGAGCCACCATTCAGATTCCAGATAAGAAATCCAATGCTTTTGGCAATTGGGAGGGTGATACCTACATGATCCTGCATGCCTCTGATGGGCCAGGGACTTTTTGCCGGCTTGAAACATGCCCTGAAAGGGGGTGCCCTTTGTTTCGTTGGATTACCACACTATGCCCCACCCATTTGGAAGGAAGCAACTCCAAAAAACCAACCGCTGAATCCTGGACCAGACCTTTTGGTGGACCTGTTTCTTGCTGATGCTTTTAAGGATATCCCCTGTCTCCACACCGGTTCCGGAGTGGACCGTATGGGTGCAGGCAGCTTCGCCCTGGCACCGGACAGTGTGGAGGGGCGATTTCTAGGCGCGAGTCGCGAGTCGTGCCTGGGATGCTGCAAGCGACTCGCTTGACGACAGGTTTCCACTAAACTTCGGGGGAAGCATGGGGTATATAGCCCATATGCGGCGGCTATTTACTATCCCGGAAGCATGGCTTTACCCTTGGAGACACCGAAGCACTCTCAGAAAGCCGGTGCTTTGGAGTGGCTGTGTTGAAACCTTTTTTTTGATAGCACAGTCTACAATGTAAATGATGCCACCTTAGCATCCTAAAATTAAACTCACACCCATGTCGCGTGTTCTTGCAATTGGCATGTGCTTTTTATGTCACTAAAGATTCGACTGGTTGCTGTTGGCACTCGCAAGGCCTCTGGTATTGAAAAGCTCATGTTTCAAATGGGCATCAGCTCTTCTCAGCCAGTGCCATGCATGTGAGAGCCGGTGAAGAAAAGCATGATGCTGGACCTTGACACACATACTGCCAACCCACCGTTCAGATTCTTCCATGCGACTGCTCAAAGCGCAGGTGAAGGTGAAGGATGGAACGAGGAGTTGCACTTTGAGGACGGCAAGGGGGTTGCATGGCGACTGCAATAGGACCGGACAAGAGGACCAGTGAAACCATCGTACCGCTGACCAGACAGCCAGGCGATCATAAGTGGCGCACTTTGCCAATATATATATATATACATACACATACACATAAATATATATATATATATAAAACGCAGGACGCCCTCAACTCCTGACCTGGCGCCAATCTCCTGACATTTCCTCCTTGCCTCAATGGCTGCCGCCTTTGGCTACAGTTTAGTCCTTCTTGACCAAGGCTTGTTCGTCTCGATTCACCCACAGTTCTGCCGGCACACGTTTCTCCGGCTGCTCCTTCCATTAGCCCACCCCCGCGGTGCGTTGTTTGTGTTTTCGGCCACTTGGCGCCTTCTCGTCTCAGGCTTGTTTGGTGTTCGTGCAACTTTTTCACGGGTGAGCAACAAGTTCCTTTGCCGGAACTTCTGCCCAGCGTGCGTGGTTGCATGGTCATCTTGATCCAAGATACAACAGAGTTCAGTGTTTTTCAAGAAGGTTTTCAGTGCCCACTACCGCCAAAGGAAGCTATGGCATTTGAATCAACACATGTCGAAGCAATATTGTATATGTGTATAAGATACGAACATAGCAATATATATATATATATGTACGTATATAAATGCCTACTATACATGGAAGCTTCCGATTTCACAACCGAGTTTCCCTTTCGCCAGATGTCCACCGGCGAGCGCGTGGTGCACCAGAGCTGGACTGAGTGCCTCGACTCACGGGCTGAAATGGCACCTTTGGGCGCCCCGTTGTCTTGTCCTCTATGTGCCTTTCGCAAACGTCAACAGACCAATTGTGAGTTCAGATCAGTGTTTCAGGACGATTCTTTAGGGGCTCAAAAGCCCCAAAGGCTCGGTTTAATTCTTTATCAGACGCAGAAGGTCTCAAATCGAGCCAGTTCCATTTTTCTTGCAGCGATTGGCAAACGGACTATTGGGAGACCCCGCCCCCCGACCTTTCTAGGGGGGATGCTGAAGCTTTTCCTTGTGATCAACCCAAGAATTGGCCGCGGCAGGTGTTGCTTTCCTTGCCTCGAGTTTGAAACGTGTGTGTGTGTGTGTCTGTGTCTGTGTCTGTGTCTGTGTCTGTGTCTGTGTGTTTCTGTGTGTGTCTGTGTCTGTGTCTGTGTCTGTGTCTGTGTCTGTGTCTGTGTCTGTGTCTGTGTCTGTGTGTGTGTGTGTGTCTGTGTCTGTGTCTGTGTCTGTGTCTGTGTTGGTGTGTGTGTGTCTGTGTGTGTGTGTGTGTGTGTCTGTGTCTGTGTGTGTGTGTGTATGTGTGTGTGTCTGTGTCTGTGTCTGTGTGTGTGTGTGTCTGTGTCTGTGTCTGTGTCTGTGTCTGTGTTTGTGTCTGTGTGTGTGTGTGTCTGTGTCTGTGTCTGTGTGTTTCTGTGTGTGTCTGTGTCTGTGTGTGTGTCTGTGTCTGTGTGTGTGTGTGTCTGTGTGTGTGTGTGTGTCTGTGTCTGTGTCTGTGTCTGTGTTTGTGTCCGTGTGTGTGTGTGTGTGTCTGTGTCTGTGTCTGTGTCTGTGTCTGTGTGTTTCTGTGTGTGTCTGTGTCTGTGTGTGTGTGTCTGTGTGTGTTTCTGTGTCTGTGTCTGTGTCTGTGTGTTTCTGTGTGTGTGTGTGTGTGTGTGTCTGTGTCTGTGTGTGTGTGTCTGTGTGTGTGTGTGTGTGTCTGTGTCTGTGTCTGTGTCTGTGTGTGTCTGTGTGTGTGTGTGTGTGTCTGTGTCTGTGTCTGTGTCTGTGTCTGTGTGTGTGTGTGTCTGTGTGTGTGTGTGTGTCTGTGTCTGTGTCTGTGTCTGTCACATTCCCAATATTTGGAGGCCTGCTTGCAGCGTTCATGTTTAGCTTCCCACCCACAAGCAATCGTCCTTTCGCCCCATGGGTCTTTCCAGGGCAACCAAGAGGCGACCCGGCAAAGCTTGCATTTTCAACTGCTTTTGGTTGCCTATGTTCAAAGTAACCAAAATGCAAAACCGCCTCTTGCTTCTTACCTGAGAAGTTACCTTCACCTGCAAAGCCGAAACTGTGTTCACGTTGTTTGTTTCAGTCCCCACATTTTGGCAACGCGCAGGGCGTGTCTTCCATATATCCCAGAAGGAGATTCCTGCAAGGACTCTGAAAATTGTTTTCTTTTTTTTTCTCTGTTTTTTAAACAAAAACATATTAGTTTGTTTGTCTTGTTTTTCTCTTCTTCTTTTTTTTGGGGGGGTGGGGTTGGTTCATGCAAGCCGACCCGTGTGAGTTTCTCCGAGGTACCGCTCCACCATGCGCCTCTTCGACCTCTGCAGCGAGTCTTTGCTGCTGGCCGCACTGGCGAAGTTAGGCGCGAAGACCCTCGGGGAAACCGTTTGGCGCGCGTCCCTTTGGCGCAAGGAACCACGGGGCTGGTTTGTCAACCCCGTTTTAGTGAAAGTACCTTGGTTTCCTGCGAAGCCTTTGGGAGGATCATCGTTTGAGGATGTCTAGGTCCCCCCGCTAAGGTGCCCTTTCTCACCGTTTCTTTTTGGTTGGGAGGGTTCCCCTACTAAAATAGACTACATAAAAAAAGTTAGTACCCTTGTTCCAACCTCTTTACTGGAGGACCTAGGACTGGAGCCCTATCACGGGGCAGGGTCCCTCCTTTCAGTCTCAAGTAGATTGACCATTCAAATACCCTGGCTTCGGCTCTTGGCATTTTTGTCCTTGAGGCTGGGCTGGCACATTGGCAGGCATTGCAGGGCCTAGATCAGACCACAGATAGCCCTGGCTATGCAACGCCTGGCGCTGAGGAGTTGGCTTGGCCATTCGACAGCTTCGAATCCGTGTTTCGTTTTGGAAGGGTCATAGCGTTGCAGCTGAAATCCTGAAAGGTTTCCCCTTTGAGTGGTGCCTTCTTCTGTCCCATCGTTTTCACATATCCGTGCGTTCCTTTTGGAGAAGAGACCATGTGTGCAGGGAGTTGCACACATGCGCTGTCAGTTCCCCAGGTCTGTAGTCGCCCTGTACGAGCTGGCCAACATTCGCACTGTGGATGAGGGTCTGCTGAGGACCGCTGGCCATTTCTTGGGATCCCATCCCATGTGAGGGGGCCGAATTTACGCTTTTTCGTTCCTCCAGGAAGCGACACAAACGCATCACCTGCCGGTAGCTCAACACCTGCCAGGTGGCTTTCCCAAGGCATCTTCCGTGGGAAGGCGGTCGGCGAGCCTCGTTCTGAGAGTTGCAATGTGCCCTCCTGGGAAGATGCGGATGGCTCTCTTGAGCTGAGTCACACAAGCGGAGAGCAAAGCTCGAGCTTGGGTTGAAAGTTGGAAGGCTCGCTTGGCGGAATGGCAGCGGTGGACGGAGTGTGTTCTTGCAGTGGGAGGGAACCTCCAGTGCCAGGGTCGAGCGTGAAAATCGGCGAATCATCATTCTAAGACAGGTCATTCTAAGGCTCCCGGCTAATTACCTTCATAGTATATAGGTAGGTTTGGACAAATGTTCTCTTTAGTTCTAAACATGGCGATCCCTCGGCACCAACTACTAATTACTAGTGGCTGATAGTAACTGGAAACACCGAGTCAATGTTGAACGTCAAAGTATTTTGATGCATGGCCTCTAAACATGGTTGAACATGAGTCTTTGTGTACTTCATGTCCAGGGGACCCAAACCTCACCTTGGCCCATGTAAGGTGAGGTTCCTTGAAGTGGGGTGATGTTTAGGGAAACAGATGGGTAGCAGTACACCAAAGGCTTTGCCCCAATTGGAACCCTGGGCTTAAGTCTTCTCAAGAGCCCTGGTCCGAGTGGGCGTGTTTTTTTGGAGGGACCAAACTACTGGGATCCACGTACTGACGTACTGTTTTTTCACACAGAGCCTGAGTACCCGACAAAACCAGCAGAAACCAAGAGCAAACTATGCAACACCGGTAGCCCTAATAAGGGTGTTTCTCAAAATAGGAGACCCCTCCGGGAAATTGGTTTCCTTTTGGTTTCCTTTTAAAAACCCCCATCCAAACAGGGCTCTGATTCCCACTTTGAGAAGCCTCCATAACACTTGCTGCTCAGTCGGGTCATTCCCTCCTTTCCCGAGAACCAGCAAGACTACATTCAATCAGGGGGGTCCGCTATGTTCAGAACCCCCCCCCCCAGACGAACCCCCCTATGTTGAGACCCCCCCGACTGAGCAGCAAGTTTTATGGCGGGCACTCAACATAGGAATCAGAGCTCTGTTTGGATAGGTTTTGTTAAGGGAAACCAAAAGCAAACCAATTTCCTGGACCCCCCCCCCCCAGTTTGTCCCATCTTCCCCGAGCCCGCCCCCGGGGGGAAGGGGTGGGCCGGGTGCTGACGCGTTCCCAAAGCCGAGGTTCGGGGCGCTGACCGGCGCCAGCGCCACGTGGCTGAACCACACGGGGCTGCTGCGCGCCTGGGCCTTCGATGGGGCGCGGGCCTCGTGGCCGGGCCAAAGTGGCTCCCCCCCGAAACCCCACCAAAACCCCACCAAAACCCCACCAAAACCTCAGAAACACGGAAAAACGCGCTTCTCAATCTCAAGCTAAGACTCCAGGCCCCAGAAAAGCTGAGCCAGGGTCTTTGCAAGGTTTGGGTCCAGAGGTGTGACCCCTGAAAGGAACAACCAAGTAAGTTTCACAATCCCAGAGCACCCAGAAAACTCAGGAAATTCCCATGTGCAGCCACCCTCTCCAAATCATCAATCCAAGCCAATTCGAAGCAAGTTGAAAGGGACAGCAGAAGGCTTGGGATGTTTTAGGTGCGCACGTTTCTGTTTCTGTTTCCCTAGGGAAATATCGGGCAACCAGCATAAAGATTCCCAAGCAAATCCCCCCCGTGCCATGGACACCTAGAGTCGATTTTGCAACCAAGAACCCTAAAAAACCAAGACCCTAAAAGAAGGAGGTTGCAAAGTAGACCCCAAGTGTCCACCATACGGACCCCCCCCCCCAAGCCCCACAAAACCCCCCTCCCAAGCACCACGGACGGAGCTCAATTTCGACCTTTGCTCCCCGAGGCGCGGCAGGTTGCAAAGCTGACCAAGGGCCGGGTCACGGAGAAGGCCAGCGAGTCAAGAGCCAGGGGTGTTCCGCATGTCTGGTGATCTTTTCTTTGGCTCCCAATGATTTGCATTTGGGGGGATCTACTTTTGCGGTATTTTGCGGTTTTTGTTTTGGTTGGTTTTGCATTCGGTTCACAGTGGGCTGTAGTGTGACACGTGTTTCTTTGTCGGCTCAGTTTATTTGGGCCGTAATGTAACATGTGTTTCTTTGTCGGGGGCGAATGTTTGAAGTACCCCTTTTTTGTGGGGTCTATTTAACGGGAGACCAAAGAGAAGCTGAAGTTGGGGCGTTCCACGTGCGACGCGTGTGTTGTTGAAATTTGCCTTGATTGCTTGTTCCGAGGTTGAACTCGTGTTTGGGTCTTCGGGCCCAGTGCTTTCGACTTTCAGGTCTCCACGCAGCCAGTGGGACCAACTTCTTGCCCATGGCCCACGGCTATGAATACGGATCAAACTCCTCACCTGTGGATCTAGACTTCAAAGTCCACCAAATTCCTTTCATCCAAAACCCTCCTTCACCCAAACCCTCCGTCCAAACCCTCCATCCAAAACCCTCCACCCGTCTATTGAGCCAAACCCTCCGTATCCCAAACCTCCCCGACGCGACGCCGCGACCGCGAAACCGCGAAGCGCCTCTCGCGCTGCGCGAGGACCTGTCGGTGCCCTTCCAGCTGCCTCGGAGCTTCGAGTGGGTGCTGTGCCTGGAGGTGGCGGAGCACATCCCGGAGGTCCCGAAACGGAGGGCTCGGGGGGGGATTGGAGGGCTCGTTTGCATGAACCCCAAAAGGCCCAGAAGCGGGTGTAAGCAAACAGTCAAAGGGCAGCTAATCCCTTGTCGTGGCTCTTGAACGTCTTCTGATTTTTACACCTCTCGGTGTATTTATATTCCCGAGTGCAGTTGCCAGAAGTCCCAGGGTTCACTTGCGGGCGTGGGCGGACCACAAAAAGACTCCGTAGCCTCCGCCTCCGCGCAGGCAAAGCTGCCGATCTTCCTGGGGAACCTCCGGCGCCACGTCACGGAGGCTGCGGGGGTTATGTTCACAGTCTGTTCCATATTGGCCTACCCCAAAACACGGCATGTTGGAGCAACCCCCAGTTTACCCCCCCCCCCCCCCATCATGGAAGTTGACAGCTCGTGCCGCGCCGCCGGCTGCCGCGGGTCCTCGGGGCCCGCAGGGCGCGGTGGTGTCCTGGTCCTGGTGCGGCGCTGGCGGGGAGAACCACGTGAGCTGCCGCAGCCCTGAGGCCTGGTTTGTGAGTCGGGCGACAAAACGGATTCTTGTGTGGACCTGTTTGGCAGGTTCGAATAGTCCAATGTTGGCTTGCACCAAAGGAGCATGTGGGTAGTATTCGCAAGGAATTCATTTGGTCATGGGTCGTACCGCCATTTCCTAGAACCCGCTTTCGAGTGGCTGCAAAGAAGCTGTCCCCACCCCCAAGCGCCCAGGAAGCTCAAACTCTCCGCGCTGGTTGCGACATTTGCAGATCCAGCCTGAAATGGCAGGAGGCCACCCGGCCACCCAAAAGCCATCCATCTTGAAGTCTTGGGTGTACCGTTGTACCTCAAGTTACTGGGAAACCATATGGCTGGGGTCAAAAAAAGGTACCCAAAATGGAACCCTGGTAAATGGAAGCATGGACTACAACCTGCGGTTTTCTGGTGGTTTAATTTTGACCCATACCCATATATCCCCTTTGTGGCGCTGACTCAAATGTCAGCATAGAGCTTCAAGACGCCCCCGGGCAAGCCCGGGGCGAATTGGGGACCCAACCCAAGAAACCCAGAGAATCTTCCCCCACTTGGACACCCACACACACAAATTGGCTCAAGAAGGATCCCCACTGCGAAAGCACACAAATCCCGCATGTAAATCATGTCCAACGGGTCCCAATTAAAAATCATGCCCAACTCGGGGACCCATTTCAGGTCATGCAAAATCTCCATTTAGGATACCTGCGAACTTCAACAACAAGCGGACTGTTTGGTTTCCCGCATGTCCTTTCTGGGTAGCCATGTATTTCCTCGCGGCTCATGTTTGATTGAGTATGTTTTAAAGCGAAGACGTGAAGGCCGTGTTTTTGGTCGCATCTGAAGCACATGGAAGCGGCTATAGCAATGCTTTTGCTCGTAAGAGGCTTGGTTAAATCCGCAAAGTTGGGATGAAAGGGGCTCCTCAATTTCCTACATCGTTGAACCTCCAACAGTGGGGGTGAATCAAAATACAGCCCGGTGACTTGATTTGCTGTTTGGGGACACTGAGTAATTGAGTGACCCTTGACAGGCGGGGCTCAACTAACCAGTTTCCTGTTGGTTTCCATACGCCAGAACGGCACAACAAGCCCCCCCCCCAAATCAAAACCATTCATAGAGGTTGCCCGCTTGAGACAACTATTTGGGGGTCCTGTTATTCCCCCTCAACATTTGGAAAGTTGTTTGGATATTTCGGAGTGGGTCTGAGCGGTCGGCTTCCCTTGGAGAAGCCAAGGGTTTAGCGAGTTTCCCTTCGGTGCTTCAAGATGAAAAGATCACAAGATCCTTTCAATCCCTTTTTTACCCGTGTTTCCCCCAATCCACAAACAACGTGAGAAACGCGTCCTTGTCTTAGACAAAGTCGACTGCCAATTGTCTACTGTTGGTTTGGGGAGAACGCCCCAAGTTCCCACAAAACCCAGCAGGAACCCAATACTGCCACGTCTGGGGAAGCAAGTCATCTAGTCTGTTCCCAACAAAAACCCTGGATCTCACCCACTTGGTCAGAAACTGTTCTTCAAACCTTTTTGAAACTCTGCAACCATGTTTTCGGGGGGGGGGGGGGGTTCCGGTTCCATTTTTTCCGGTGGACGGGGGAAAAAGAAAACTTTTCGCCGTCAAGAGCATCCAGAGGGTTTCGGGGCCTCAGATCGCCAGGAAGCCCGAGAGCTGATGGCAGACCTTGGCCCGAAGGCTGAGAATGCGTACGAGACGAATTTCCTCCGCAGGAGTAGATGTGACTATATATATGTATATATATAATATATATAATATATATATATATATATATATGCGCAGGTCCCCCCCAAGAACTACCTTCTGGGTGCTGTTTCATGGGGGGGGGGTGGCCTTACCATTTTCTTTTTATATAATGAGGGCACTTTTTTCAGGTGGGTTGAAAAGGGTACCAAGAGGAACATGTTCTTGGGTCACCCTATCTTGACACATCCCATATTCTGGCATGCAACAAGTTCAGATATGTTGAACTGAATACGGCTGCCAGTGATGCTTGCAGCTGACAGCGACCACGCCTTTGCTTTTGACCATTCACCTCTTCTGGGCAGAAGGCATGTAGCTATTCCCGCTCATGCAAGTCAAACTGTACTCTGAATAGCTTGCACAAGCAGACCATGGTACAATAGCAACCCAGGGTTATCTTCGGGTTGATTCAGAGGGTATGTCCGACATGTCCCAATATCAATGGATCCCTTCACGTTTTGGGCCACACGTCGTATCTATTTGTTTGTTTTTCCGACAGGCAAGCATCACGCGACCTGGCCGCTACGCCGCACGGATGTGCGCTGGGTTTCTTTGCTTAGGTCTCAAAGCAGACCCCGAAGCCTCTGCGGCAGCGCAGGCGGGGTTCGGAAGCATCTGAAACTTGGGTGGGGGTGGGCCAGTGGGGGGGGGAGGGGGGTGGGCTCTCAAATGAGTTTTGACTGGAGGGTTTCCACCAAAAGTATTGTTTGTCATATGAGCGTCGGTTCTCTACCCGCAATTCGAAAGTAGTCGGAACATGAACTAAGTCTCCCAGTAGTGCCCTTTTGCCCCTTTTTTTTTGCGGAGGGCTTCCCTGCTAAAATAGACTACAGAAACCCGGGTACCCTTATTCAACCCTCTCTACTGGCGCTATGTTTCTCTGGGACCCGCGATCCCTCTCGATTCACGGCACGGCCCAATTCCCGAGGCAGCCTCCAGCGTGTGGTGGATTTCCCGTACCGTACAGGCCTTGTGCTGAGAGTTGGGGGGGGGGGCGGGAAGGGGGGGGGGCGCAAGTTGGAAGGGCCAAACACACGACTCATTCGTTGCCCTGAGTGCAAGATGGCAAATAACACGTCAACTTGCCCAAAAAGAGGCCACATAGATTGCAATGCGTTTTTGTTGTTTCTTCTTTCTTTTTTCAGATTCTGTATTGTCGTGTAAAAGGTTTGCCAACATCGACTGTGGACGGAACGGGCTCGGCTTCCCTTCGCGTTCCCCAAAAAAAGCACCAAAGGGGCACCGGCAAAACAACCCATGAGTGTGTCTTGTTTGGACTTGGTACCCCTTTTTGGTGGGTTTTAAAGAGAAACCACAAGGACAACCGCCATGTTGGGTGGTCCCTTAAGAGAAACGCAGAGACCCACATCCACCCTTGGAAAACCTAGGGTTGAGGGTAGACCATTCAACCAGCTCTGCAGGTCTATCGCCTGGCTGATTAGTCCTGGCCGTGAGCCCAGCGTTTGCGCAAAGGGGTTGCCATGTGAGTAACGGTAAGTATGCATTCGTTGTTTACGTGGAAATGATGGATAGTCAGCCCTCCCTTGTCAGTTGGCGCAACGAATATGGACCACCAGGAAGTTGAGTTTCACCGAATTCCCGTGCGCACGTGATCACTAATGAACGCGTGCCTCTACATTTGACACACGGGAGACATGGATTGGCCCTCACCAGTATCAATTCCGGGTTCTAAAAGATCCAAAAGTGAACTTTATCCTGCCAAGAGGTACCCTCTTTCCAACTCGTTTCAAGATGATAGTCTCCCCAAACGCTTTTGTCCACTTGCATGATTCTCGGAAACAGGCTCCGGTTGATTTTCTGAATATTGCAAGTTGACCAACCGCATCCAGCCACAAAACCTGGCAACATGCAGCAGTTTACAGGGCCTAACTCGTGACCTATTGGGGACCTTTCCACCCCCAAACCTGTTCTTTGGACCGTTTTTTTTTTTTTTTCTCGCACAAAACCGGTTCGTTGAAAAGCCAGACCCCTTCTAATGCCTGCGGTATCGAAGCAAAGAACGAGTTGCCTCTTCATCGGAGAGCCGCTAGGCCAGCAGTACCTGCTACCACGTGGTGACGAGTGCTCGCATCCGTGGCAAAAAGGAAGGAGGAAAGCGGAAGAGAGATACCCTTCCAAAAGCACCGGAAACAGGGTCCCTCTTAGAGCAAAATTGTCTTCCAGGTTTTTCTTGTGGGTTCTATGTTTGGTTTTTGGGAGGACGATTTGTAGAAAAGGCAAGCCTGAGCATAGTTTGTTGGAATAATATGTGAACGGTCGCTATTGTCCGCCATCAGTGCATGGTTCAGGAACAGGGGGGTGACACCTTCACAAAGATCACTGGAGACAGCTGAATATTGCCGGTGGCTACGGTGGACAAGCTCTTGCACCACGTGAGTTGAGCTGGATGAAACCAAATAGATACTGGGATAAGCCACCAACTGGTGCAGGAATTTGTCCATCCGCCTGGTCCATGTTTGGCACACTTCTCACGCCGTCCTCTCAAGGACCGAGTCTCGGGCCTGCATGCGAGGCCGCAAGTTGAACCAAAGCTGTACCTTCCAAGCCAAAGCAGCCACTTTTCAGAGCCGACGACTAACAGATATTTTGATAAAGAGTCAGCCAGAGTGCAGAGAGCAACACGTTTGGGGCACAGCCCCAGCAGCCAGCTTCTGATTTTTTTTTGCATCCAGCCCGAATCGTGGCCTGCCATGATTCGGGTTCTTTCCTGCCTGAGGTGAGGGCCATGAGTTTTTACATGCCACATGTTCCCCGATTGAATTGAAGCTCATGGGCCGCGTTGCCCCAAGTGATTTCCGGTTCCCCTCTAATGTTGACCCGGATGAATCCCTGGTTTTTGTGGGGATCCATCACTTCCCTTTCTTTGGTTTTTGGATTTGGCTTCTCGCATCATCAGCATCACCAGTTCCTCCCTATTTGAATCATCACTTCTTCGAACATCATGCCGCTACGCTACTGTTTAGATTGCTTGCAGAGTACAGTAATTGCACCCCTATTTGAATCAACACTTCTTCAAACATCATGGGGGGGGCTGCTGCCCCCCCAACCCCCCCGCTACTTTTTAGATTTCTTGCGCAGATTGAATTGACCCCTATTTGAATCATCACTTTTTCGCGTGTCCAATTTCGTGAGAAAATGCTGCAAAATACGACATGTAAGGTAATCTATGCAATCCATGTATGTCTGTATGTATGCACTTCTTCGAACATCATAGGGGGCCAACCCTCCCGCTGCCTTTTAATAAATTCTATTGCACCCTTTTTTGAATCGTTGCACCCCTACTTGAATCATCACTTCTTCCGACATCATGGGGGGGCTGCCCCCCCCCCAACCCCCCCCGCTACGTTTTAGATTTTCTACAGAGATTTAATTGCACCCCTAGTTGAATCATCAATTCTTCGAACATCATCCCAACCCCCCCCGCTACTTTTTTGACTTTGTGCAGAGATTGAATTGCACCCCTATTCGAATCATCACTTCTGTGAACGTCATGGGGGGGGGGGCTGGCCCCCCCAACCTCCCCGCTACTTGTTTTTTTTACAGGGGCTGAAATGCCCTCCTATTTGAATCATCATTTTTTTGACCCCGTCAACCCGCCAGCTACTTGTTCTATTTTGTTACCCACGATTTGTTGGTGATGCTAGGGATGTTGGTCGGACATGCGGGGTATGTTGAAAACGATGCTGGGGATGTTGACGGGCTAGTGTAAAATGCGTCAAATTCGCGAGAAAATGCTGTAACATACGACATGTTACTGGCCCGGACGAAAAACGGGGAATTTTAAAACGCACCCGTTTATTAATCCGGGGTCAACATTATGGGGTGACCCTAGTGAGGAACTAGATCCTTGACTCCAGTTGAGTCGGCTGCCGTTCCCTCGTTGGACTTTGTGCGCGACTTCCCAAGCTCAAAAGCGGTCTTGGGGAGGTTCGGCTGTTGATACTCCTTTTTGTTCGGCCCATTCTTGGTTTGCATTTTGTATCGCAGTGACATCCCTCGTGCCAGGAGCAACTGGAGAAGGCATTTGGCGCTCCGCTGCGCGCGGCTGTCATGCTGTTATCCGGAGTCCGGGATCCGAGCGGATCTGAGTATTCGCCAGTATTCCCCAGAACAAAATTCATGGAACCAGACCCACCCCCCAAAAAAAGGAGATTGGGGAGCAAAGCTCTTTTCTATGACTTTGCTTTCCCAAGCCACTATCGGGGCCCAAGGGAAGTAGGTTTATGGCAAGATGTTGCGACAAAGGGCTGGAATCTTGTTACTTCCCGTGCCAATTGCAAGCAAACGCGGGCTCTGCGTTGTTTCGTGGGTCCCGGGACCTTTTCTTTTTCCTTATGCCTGGTGCAGCCCAACCGGGATTCTCGGGATGGTCTTTCCCAGTTTCCACCCCAAGGCCCCAAGGCCAAAAATCCGATCCTAGGCTGATGGGGGCCCTTTCTGTCTTTCACTGGAATGGCAGGTGAGCACCGAAGTGGCCAAGAGCTCTCAGGAGCATTGCTTGAAGCGATTTTGAGCTGGGGCCATTTGGTGGACCTCATATTTCGCGTGGTTGGATCTATGTCCAATCAGTTTTTGAGAGTGTCATTTTTGTTCGATGGCCGTGTGTTCAACTGGAGTCCGTTGAGAACAGTGTGGTGTGGGAGAAGCCTGAGTTTTGGTTTCAGTGCTTTGACTCCAGGCGTTCTCTCGCTTGAGTCTGGGGAGGTGTCACCTATACCCGCGTGGCGAGAAGCTGAAAGCCGGCATCTCAGGCGACATTCTAGAGGTTGATTCCTTTTCCATTATTTTCAACCATCTTCTTTTCAAAAACCGATTGCTGTTTTCCCCAGGTTTTTTCGTGGTTTTCTAGAAAGAAGGATTCCTGGAAAGAATGGGGAAGCTACCCTTGGAGACATGTGATTCTTGGCTTGCGCATCCTGTTTCGTATTTGAGATGTGTGGAACCCTTTGATCTCCTGCATGATTTGACCCCATTTCGCCCGGAAGAGAAAACCACGGTAATGACCAAGTTTGTTTGATTTAAGCGCAAGGCAGTTGGTCTCTCCGCCCCACTTCGACCGAGCAAGTCCCGGGAGGCTTGGATGCGCTTTCTGACTCTCTCGCCCGCGCTCGAGGAAATGTGCAGAACCTCGGGGCAGCAGACGTGAAGAGGGTGCCAAGGGGCACCGCGGGCCGAATGAGAAACGGACGTAACCCATTTGCCTGGAACCAACCCACCTGGAGTCAGCAACTTGCAACCGACTCGCCTACTTCATGAGCCAACGAACCCTTTTCCCCAGCCCTTTTGGGGGTCCGCCATTTGCACTTTCCCCTTTGACCAGCAAAAGTCCAGCAACGTTTTGCAGGTCTAAGTCTGGATGAGATCCTCCACGGCTACTTGAAACAATTTGCAAGCTGTGTTAATCTATCGGTATCAGGGTCTTTCTGCATGCCATTTGGTTTGGTAGGAGATGTCAGTGAATTTTGGATACGAAATTCATTTTGCTAGCAGTTTGCTCCTGTGAGCATGGCTTAATTCGGGATAAAGTAACCCTACAACCCCGTTCCAACTTTTCAGGTCCTTATTTGCCGGTTGTGACAAGGGAGTTTGCCATTGAACAAAGTCAGAGAAGGGCTGTGCAATTCGGACATCAAAGAACCATGCCTGGGCTGCTCAAGTCTCGAAACATGCAAAAGACTCTACGACCTCACTGCAATATTTCATCCAAAGACGTAGACGATGCGCGCAAGCTGCTGTTGCCTCCATTCGCTCTCTGAATCGCTGAACTCATGCTTTGTCTGGCTTCTGCTTGGAAATGTAGGTTCTGTCCATGGTCCTTGCCATAGTCGCCACCCACATAAGTTGATCATCCATGTTCTGAACTGCTCTCAGGCAAACCTTCTACCACATTCACCAGCTACACCGCCCGTGAAAGGGTCTCGGCACTTCCTTTCTGTTACTCCCGTGACTCCGTCTTGAGACAACCCAGCCACCAGTGGGGTCAAATTGAACCACTCTGAGCCACAGTCTCATGTCCCCACGCTCGCATGACGTGGTTGTCCTTGGGAAACATTGGACACATCTTTGCTGATTGTGGTTTGGTGGTGGAAATATTTCAGCTTAACTGCTGAAATTTAATTGTTTGCTCCCCTTCCAACGTCAATCAACATGACTTATCGGGGAAGTGGAGGCCCACTGTCTTCGATTTTGGAAAAACATCGCCTCGCCTTTCGAATTCAGAAGTGCGATCTTTTCGGCCTTGCTGCTTCGATAGGCAATGAGAATTGGAATGACCCCCCCTCCCAAAAAAAAGAAGCCTCCAACCGATTTGTTGTCCTTTATTCCGGACCCCCCAGTGGTGCCCTTTTACCCTTTTTTTGGGGGGGGAGGGTTCCCCTAGTAAAATAGACAGAAAAAAGAAACGGTACCCTTATTCTATCCTGAACAAGAGAAGAGGTGCCGCGCATGGGCTCCGGGCAGCTCCGACACCTCGCGCAGGCCGGGGCGTTTTTTTTTTTTTTTTGTCGTGGTGGCTTCTCAGGTGGTGTTTTTGGTTTTTCCATGGTGGTTTTTGGTGTTGTTCTTCTCCTGGTGTGTAGAACCATGGTTTTGGTTTGTTTGGTTTTTGGTGTGTAGAAAGGGTCGGAAAAAGGTGAATCCTCGGCTTACTGTAGGTGAAACAGTTGGTCAATGAGTGAGTGGTTCCCATTGTGGAACATACACTGCTTGAATATGTCGAAAGGACCCCACTTGACCCCACCTGATATTTTCCAAATCTTCTGGATTGTTTCCTTCGCGTCTTCAAAGGGGGTTTGCGAACATACTGTTTATGACAGAGACAACTTGAACATCTGATTTAGCTTGTTTCTGCTTACAAGGGTAGCTCGGTGAGTCGGTTGAACAGCCCATTGCCTCCAAAAGGCAGCTGGCTTCCTGTTTGGCTTATGAATCCCCAAGCCGCACGAAGAAGGATGCAGGCCCTATGAAGGGATAAACCACCTAACAGCTGGTGCAGTGTTTGTTTTTTTGTTTCCTCCGGGATGATGATCCCTGAAAAGAAGAATGCGTCCTCTAAGACAATTGACGGAGCCAAGCAACTTCTACAAGCCTGCTTCATTCCCTGCATTCATTCCCCTTCACTCCGGAAACATTTATTCCCATGAGTTTACTCATACCCGGTTTGGTAGGAAACCTGACGGGGTAGGTCTTGATCACGTGTACGTTCGGGCAGGCTGCCAGGGTACTCAGTAGCTTCCACCAGGATGAGCTCTACAAACTTTGTACAACCGCCATTGAGCCAGGGGCAATAGGATGCCCTTGAGAAATGTCCGAAGCCTGCAGCTACCTGAATTGAATTTCATGCTCCCCAACGCACAGAAACAGAGGCTTAAAAAAACAAATGGGACCTTTACTCCCTTTCAAATGGTAGAAAGAGGCACTTCTGGAGGGGTTCAGGTGCGCATGAGTTTCTGTTCAAATTGGCAGAACACCGCTCTTTCTTGTTGGTGGACAGTGCCTGCAGCCTAGATGTCCTTATTTTGGGTGACCGGGGACTTGCGACAGAATGGACTTCTTGGACCCTTCGGCGGGCGTGCCCCTCTGTACGGGGTGACGGGACCGGTCCCTTCCCGGCTTGGCCCACCCAGGCGGCTGCGGCAGAGGGCGGCTCGGAGGCCTTGTGGTCCGCCGTGGCGGCCAGGTGTCAGGACGGGGCGGCCAGCGGCCGTCCACCGCCGCGGGTTCGAGACGTCGGCGCTCGAAAGAGTTCGGAGCACGAGGGGCGCTCCCGTTTCGGACTCCAAAAACGGAATTCCACTTTCCACCGGGTGCTCCTAGAGTTCCAAGATGATACATGGAAAAGAAGGTCGAGGGTGTGCTTTAATTTACCGCGAACGATGTCTTCGATTCCGCATGTTTGTCCTGCAAGAAGAAGGGGACTCCTTGGGAGCCTCACGGTCTGATTTCTTGCCTCACGTCAGGTGCGGTCAAAGTATCCAGTAGTCCATTGTCCATTTGAGGGACATGGGGGGACTCTAAGTTTTCCACCCAAACCAAGGACGCGTCAACTTACTACGCCAATTAGAGGCTATAGCAGGACAGTGGCTCACGTGGTTTCTGAGAGGGCTGTAGCATCTGCGCTAAGCTTTTCAACATTTCGAATCACATACACACACGCACACACATCACATCACTCACGCACGCGACGCATTACACACACACACACACATCAAGCACACGCACACGACATGCACACACGCCCACACGCTCACACGCGCACACGCACACACGCGCACACGCACACACGCGCACACGCACACACGCGCACACACACACACACGCACACACGCACACACGCACACACGCACACACGCGCGCACACACACACACACACACACACACACACACACACGCTCGCTCGCTCGCTCGCTCGCTCGCTCGCTCGCTCGCACGCACGCACGCACGCACGCACGCACGCACGCACGCACGCACGCACGCACGCACGCACGCACGCACGCACACACACACACACACACACACACACACACACACACACACACACACACACACACACACACACACACACACACACACACACACACA